TTTTTTGACAGCTTTCCTAATGATGTCCATGATTGGCCAAGGTTTTAATTGAGCTACAGTCACAAGATCCATTTCCTGATCCATTACTAACCAGCTTGGATGCCAGCAAAATATGTGTAGTGCTAAGTTGGTTTATGTTGGCCGCCTCCCCCGCACTGTACCTCACTGCTTACACTGAATCCATTTTAATGTCCATTCTCCCAGCTTGGGAGAGATCCTTCTGAAATTCTTCACAATCTGCCCAAGCGGTGGGAATATACTGCAAATACGTAAGGATAATATAACTGAGGAATCCGAAGAACTCTAGATTTTTTTGAATTATAAATCTCATCATGTCTCACCATTGCTCAAGTTCATTGAGTCGGGCAGGGAGTGGGAATCTATCAAAATCTAGTAGGTCACATGTTCTCAATCATGGTCTAATGGCTTAGTGGTGTAAGTCTGATTTTATAACCTGACATAATTTGTTTAGGACTGGTTTCTCCATTCCTCTTTTGCAGTAAATCCTTTGAACATTCTGGGCATCAATTTTCTAGGAAGACGACTGAGTCTCACAATAACTATGGGATGCACAGCGGTGTTCTTCCTCCTTCTTAACATATGCACTTCAATGTAAGTGTTCCCGCAGCAGCATATTAAAATGTTCCTCTTTTCCCATGTATACTATGCTAGAGACAGTCTTCCATCTTATTAGGCTGCTCAGTTGTAGAGGCATTTGTTTGTTGTTATGTGCCCTCAAGTCAGAACTGAATTATAGCAAACCTAATAGTGCTTTCAAGGTATCTGGGATATTTAAGGAATCATTTTACCAGTTCCAAACGCTCAATGAGTTTTCATGGCAAGGATTCAAACCCAGGCCTCGTCACTCGTAGTCCATCATTCTATCCAGTACATCTCACTGGGTTAATAATGATAGTCATATATGCCACTTGTATTTCATGGTCCACTAATATTATAGTTGTTCTGATGAAAGGATATTATGGACAGGTCAGATTTGCCCAAGGGATGTGTGTTCAAATTTTGACCGTAGTATTATGTTCAAGCAGTGGAGATAGGCTGTTACTAGATCAGAGGTGCTCCAATCTACATCTCTATAGCTGCTGCGAGGAAACATGAATGTGTGTGTATGCAATGCTGCACTTGCATATACAGTGGTGCCTCGCTTAGCGATTGCCTCATTTAACGATGTATTCGCTTAGCGATGAGGTTTTTGGAGCGATCTTGCGCTCCGTTTAGCAATGTTTCCAATCGGGAAATTTCGCATAGTGATGTTCGGGACCTTGCTTCGCTTAGCAATAACAATTTAGGTCCCCCTGTTTCACTTAGCAATGTTTTTGACAGCTCCGTTTTCGCTATTTTTAAAAGGTGTTAAATTGTTTAAAAAGGGTTTAGAGTGCTTCAAATCGTTAGTACACTTAATACACCCTTTGTTAACCAAATTTGGCTTCGTTCTGACTCTTTTTGAATTTTTGGTGATTTTTTCCTCCCCCATCGAAATGCATTGAAAAGGTTTCAATGCATTCCAATGGGGGAACTGTGTTTCGCTTAGCGATGTTTCCTATGGCGATTTTCGCTTAAGGACGGTAATCCGTTCCCATTGGAACGGATTATCCGGTTTTCAATGCATCTCTATGGGAAAACGCGTTTCGCTTAGTGATGTTTTCCCATAGCGATGAATTTTTTTGAACCAATTAAAATCGTTAAGCGAGGCACCACTGTACAAGTATCCTTTTCTGGACTTTTCATACTCATATGTCATGCCCATCTTCCACATTTCTGCAGTGTCCAGCCAAATGGGCTACCTAGGTCTTTGGATCACATCAAACAGACTTCCAAAAACATGATGGGGTTCCACACCAAGGCAAACAATCATCTTCTCTGCAAGACTCCAACTGGATAAAGCAGAGCTGCTTTGTCAAAACTGCTTGTGCTAGAAATACCTATTTATATCAATAAGGGCAGAACTAAACATGCGTAGGCATAAGGTTCCCAGTGTCGTTGCTGAGAGAAGGGACCATTTCATGAGTTAAAATCAGTAAATATTTCTCCTGTACACATCATTCCCAGCTGTTTTTAAAAGCATTTCTCCATTAGCCTTGAAAACTCAAAGTACAGTAAACCTAGCTGATATTGGTGAGGGTGATCTTGGGACCATTTGAAGGGGGTTAGGAGGAGGTTTTAAAAAGTTAGGAACCTCTCCCTCCCAGTGATTGTTCTACATTAAGCTGCCTGTTATGTCAGCAAAACCAGGTTTGGAAACAGTCCATGCAGGATATGGTCTACCTTTTCTTTGACACATATACTTCAGACCCCCTACATCAATGTTGGACTTGGAAAATATTTTATTATCATTATTATTGGCCATGGATATGGTGGTGGTGGGGATTTTGGTCATCATGGTATAAAAAGCAACGATTTCAGGTTTTGCGTCAAGGTTACCAGTATGGGATGTTTAACGTGCATGTTTTGGGGGCTTTTCTCTGGTGCAAACATACTTGCATGTTAAGAGGCAAGTTTTTGGAAGTCCCCTCCCTAGAGGGAAGTGATGTTTGTATTCGCAGTCCTTAATGGGCAGAGCAGGATTCAGAGACACAGGGTTAGGCTAGCATAGGCTGTTGGCTGATCCCATACAAGAACAGTTATATAAAAGAAAATTTATGTAGATAGGAAACACAAATGCCAAACTGGTTCGACTCAAGTGCATTACCCAGTAATTTGAAGAGAGCTTGTGCCAGCAGAGGATGTTCAAGGATACCAGTCCAAACAAAGAGTGCCTGCTGAGGCAATCCTTAATCCTATCCAATTACTTGACCAGTTACCCGAACCTGAAAGAAATCCTTTTGGCATTATGAAAGAAAGCCACAGCTGGGAACAAAGAGTGCCTTGTGAAATTATACCTACTTCTACAAGTTCCATTTCTACAGTAAAATAAAAAGGTAAAGGTTCCCCTTGACAAATTGTCTGGTCATGGCCGACTCTAGAGGGCGATGCTCATCCCCATTTCTAAGCCGTAGAGTCAGCGTTTGTCTGTTGACAATCTCCATGGTCACGTGGCCAGTGCGACTAGACATGGAACGCTGTTACCTTCCCATTGTGGTGGTACCTATTTATCTACTCCATTTTTTACGTGCTTTCGAACTGCTATGTTGGCAGGAGCTGGGACATGCAATGGGAGCTTACTCCGTCATGTGGATTCGAACTGCTGGTCTTTCAACCTTTCAGCCCAGAGGCTTTTGCGTTTTAACCTGCAGCCCCACCATGTTGCTATATTTCTACAGTAGAAATATTATTATTTTCCATGTGTTTTGATGAGTCATTATGATTTTGAAAACATTGAAAAAACACTTCACAATCAAGGTTGGATATACTCTGTGAAGTAACAGTTAAAAAATAACTGTGGCTGAAAATCCATTGTTTAGTATCATAAATCATACTAGAGTAGACCCACTGAATCAATGAGGGGTTTCTGAGTCAACTCCTCCGTAAGGTCAATCAACTCAAAAGGTTCTACTTAGTTATTACTTACTTTAGCATAGTAAGTGCCACTAAAGTAGGCCTATTTGAATAAATTCAACACACAGAATAATTCACTCACAAAATCTCCACTGAGTCAATGGGCCTACTCTAGTGCAACCCATTACACTAAGCATCAGGATGATGATCTCACTGTCACAGGTTTTTCTTATGGGTGTTCTAGGCATCTTGAATGAGTTTTTCATGTTTTGTGAGATTGGCTGAAATCCTGCAATGTAACTCCCACCTGCAGAGGAGTGGTGGAAATTGCTGGCAGAGGGCCAATTTTGGTAATTTTAAAAATCCCTCCTCTGTCCCATGGCTTTTCAGCTGTGCTGCAATGCCTTTCATGGAAACTGTGGGAGCGATGGGATGACGCTGCTGACAAGGAGAGGTGGTCCTTAATTAAATACTTCCTCCCTCCATTTCATGGCTTCTGCACAATGAAAGGGAGTACATCAGGTCAGGACAGATGTAAGAAGTTTTTAATTGCCAAAAATCATCCCCACTTGTGACATCTTCACCGTCCCACAGTTGTAAGTTACCCAATAGGATTTCAGCCACCCTCATATATCCTGTTTCTCTTTTTAAGAAATAAAGGACACAAGTGAATAAGCAACGTAACTGGTTATTAACAATGAACAAATGAGAAACAAGTAAATAAGAAATGAAGCAACCAATGTCATGTCAAAGACAGTGTGAAAAGGGATGTTCCAGCTTGCAAGGCCACCTGGCATTCCAGCATACCATGTTCTTTGACTGAATTCTTTGGAATTGCACGATTGTTCTTTTCTCCCCTCCTTTTTGTATCTAGCACAGGTCTCATTAGTTTTCTCTTCATGTTGCGTGCCTTCGTTGCTGCAAATTTCAATACCATCTATATTTACACAGCAGAGGTAAGAAAGACCTTTGGGAATGGAAAATGTAGTTTGACAGCACAATCTGATGCATTTTTATTTAGACATAAGTTGCAGTAAGTATGGCCTTTCAATTTTAAGTGGAATGAACAGGAAGCTAGGAGACATGGAAGGAGGCACTCCAAAGAATGTGAGGACTGTAAGCAAATTCAGGTGTCCCCTGGGCAATGGTCACGCACACTCAACTGATCTGTCCACTCCAGAAGTACCACTGGATTGCTTCTGACATGAATGAAGAAGAGTAACAGGAATGCAATGTTAACAAGAAAATTCTACCATAACCCAAGAACTTAGGGTAGGGTTGAGACGTTTTGGGTAGAGAAGACCAAATGATGCTTCCTCTCCTACTGAGAAAAGAAGTTGTTGATAAACAAACAGTCCCAGGTTTAGGGTGGAAGATGACAATAAAATTACCAGCATTGTGTCTGCACGCCTCCTCTTTTTGTACAGTTTAGCAGAGTCATTGAAATATCTGCTCCTCTTGAATACATATAAGCAATTCTAAGCAGAGAAACTGTACCTGAAGAGTCAAAAGTGTCTGGAGGTTGGAGCTTCTGCAAAGTTCTCTTGTTGGAAAGGTGGAAGAGAAAGATGAGAAGTGTTTGCCTCCATCACACTGTGGCTTTTCTCTTCTGAATTATTCCTGGAAGAGCTGGCATAAGTTTCTGCCCAGGGGGAATCCTCCCAATGTCAGAGAAGTCAGAGCAGTGTCATTTTCCACAGGTGCTGGGATTTTGGGTTCCTACGTCAAGTCTCTTCTGGCGAGGTTAGACCTTTGTCTTTTCCACCAGAGGCAGAGGTTTATTCAGTCCTATGGCATACAGGATGTCTTCCACAGACCATAGGGCTATGAACAAAATTGCTCATAACTCACTGTAGCACATTTCTGTTTGATAAGTGGTAGCACATTCCTCACAAGATGGTGCAAGAAATTCTATATGAAATAGTTGTGGACTAAAACATTCACTAAATTAAATATTCTGCTTTGAACGATTATTACGATTAATAAATCAAGCGCTGAAGCCAAAAGGCAAAGCAGATTTCAACACTAGATGCAAGTACCATTTGGAAGTCAGAAAATCTGAAGTTGAACGTTTGCTACTTTTTAGTCTTGCCTACAGTTTAAAACTGTGAGTTCCAGCTAACAAAAATATTGGAAATTTAATATTTGTGATGTATCCAAATAAATGGAAGGATTGTTCTGAATGGTTAGATTATTTCTTTGTCATTCATGAGTAATGTTCAATTGAAAGGACCAATCCAGGCAAAGCTAAGTGACTTTAAAAGTAAGTACTGTATACCATTCTTGCTTTGTTTGAAATATTTGATGAAATAAACAAAGTAAATTAGCTTAAAACAGATTGTACCAGGGATTAGGAAGACATTTTTGCCAATATTGTATCTTTTGTAGAGGTGGAATACTAGTGGCTTTCCAGATACTCTGGTGTTTCAATTTTGTATCAGCTAACCATGGACAAAAGTCAGCAATGGGGGGCAGATGTAATCTAACATTGGGGGGTACACATTCCTCACCTGTTTTACTGAATTGCCAATATAATGTTTCAAGTTTGGGAGGATCTACATCTGCACACAAAAACTTGGTGCATCACTACATTAATCACCCTTTGAATTGCCTTTTTCTCTGCCACTGTGCAGCTCGTGAACCATACACAGAGACAGTAGGATAATATGCTCTCAATCGAACTCCGATAGAAGGTGATTAACAAACTCTGAATTGCCAATATAATGTTTCAAGTTTGGGAGGATCTACATCTGCACACAAAAACTTGGTGCATCACTACAGTTTTACCTTAGTCTTCTTTGCAGTATAGAGACTCAACTGACATTGCACTATATGTTACTGTCTTATAGGTTTATCCCACTACAATGAGAGCCTTGGGCCTGGGAACAAGTGGTTCCCTTTGTCGCATTGGTGCTATGGTGGCACCTTTTATAGCACAAGTAAGACATAATTATTTCAATTGGTTTACTGTGCCAGTAAAAACAGGTTTCAGGAAAACATTTTCATATAAATTATGTACCATGCATATTTCTCTTAATGTTTGTGGATCACATATGGGCATAAAGCTGCATGAATGAATGGGTCTTTACGTAGATTGAAAGTCAGGAATTGTGCCCTCTAAAATTTTGGACATCAGTTTCTGTTAGTCCAGCTAGCGACTGGATTCTGGGACTAGGCTTTTTGTACCATCTAGTATTGCTGAAGACTGAGGACCACTCTTGGAAGGAATGTGTGTAGATCAGCGTTGCCATTGTGATACCAGACCACTCCACATGTTCACTAAATTCTAGAATAATGCCTGGGAAATGGCCTCTGTACCAAATGGTTGGCAATATGCTCCAGCTTCGAGGCAGCTAATAGGGTTATCTATGGGTATTTTAAAATGTCTATTCAAAACAGCATGGCAACATGGCACTCATAATTTGTTTATATGCAGGTGCTTATGAATGCTTCTTTCCTGGGAGCCCTCTGCCTTTTTGCTTCAGTTTGTGTTGTAGGCGCCATCTCTGCTTTCAGCCTCCCCATCGAGACCAAAGGGAGAGCACTTCAGGTTGGTAACTTGCCTTTAGTACTTCAAGATCAGAAACAAGCTCTTGAACAAGAGAGGAGGCATAGAGTCAACTTCCCGGAATTTTACCTCTTATTATTACAAACACACAAGCTTTGGAGGAACCATCCGGTATGAGTAGCCGATAATCTTAAGTGTCATTCTGTTCTTCTATTCACTGTCTGAGGAACCCACAGGAATAATCTATCCTGTTTTTTATATATCAGGAGTCCACTGTGGCTTAGTCCATATAAGTACAACTGACTCATTCTGGCAAGGGAGAGCCATTTATAAAACCTGTTAACTGCTGCACATCCATGATTCTTACCTGGATCCCCAACTGAACTGGCTGCATGAACCTTTGGATACAGATGCTTTTCTCAATAGAAAGCCACAATTTATTACATGTGATTCATTGCCCTCAGCAAAGATTAAGACTTGGGAGGTTTTCAGGCACTCAATTATAGCCTGATGTATACATCACTCCATCACAGTCAGTTAATTATATAGGAATTACTGGGGGAAAGAAAATAATCAGGAGGGGACTCACAGCAAAGTGTAACAGTGCACCCCAAGCCCTTAACAAGAAGTCTCCTGTTCAGAGTTCCATTTAAGCAGGGTTCACAGCAGGGGGCAGTTTCAGGGGACTGCAACAGAGGCACCCTTCACCATTTCCTTAAAACTTACCATTCTGTGCTAACACCAAAGGTTAGCTTTGAAGCCAACTCTATGCTTTCATGTTGTGTCTGGGGAAGTTTCAGGAGAGCTGGGAAAGGGTGTGTGACTAATACTAGTTGCTGGGTTAACCAAGTACTGCTTTGAAGAAATATTTAGAATGGTTTCCAAGTGGTTTGTTTCTGTGAGATTCCAGTTTTCCCCTCCAGAATACAAATGAAGGCATATTTCAGCTGAATATATTTTCAGGCAGGAGCAATTATAACCCCATTTTTAGTTCTAGGGAAACACAAACTGTTTGTGAAGATCTTGCATCTATCAACCAAGTGATAACTTCAATTGCCCTTCAGAGAACTATAAAATCTGATAGGTAAAATGTCTCACTTGCTCAATGACTTCTCTATTCAAGGACCACCTATGCTTATGAGGACATGCTCTAAACACAATCTTTTTCTTATTATAATTTACATTCAACTCTTCTTTACAACAAATCCCAAAATCTTTCAGCAAGCATGTTATCTCAGTTTGACTGTATAACTGAATCATATCATCTCTGTATAGTGGGATGATTAGTTCATGAGACAAAGCCCAAATGGAAAATAATCTAATAGTTTAAGCTTCAATATTGTATCTTCAACATACAAATCAAATAGAAGAGGAGCTAATAAACAACCTTGACATTACACTTTTGAGGTGGGAATTAGCTCTGACACGAGTCCATTTAATCGCATTCTTAGTCTTATACACGTACAGAATATCAGAGTTCAGAAATGTGTAAGTGTAAATAATCACTGATCAATATTTGAATTCTAAGAGTTTGATCTACAGCCTCTCACAATTTATTTTTTAATGCTGTTGTAGTATCTACAAATGCTACATATAGGCACTTCTTAAGTCTCTTGCTATACTTACAAGTTAGAACATAGTATTGATCAATAATACTTCACCTACAGCCTGACTACTCTTCTGCACAAATACGAAACAATGGCTGAGAGACAAGGGTTAGAAATTGTCATCTATTTATCACCAAGCTGAGGTATCTGAAGCAAATCCCAAGGAATAGTTATTATACAACTCAACCATTACTTGAGCAGATTCTCTCCAGCAAGCAACTCAATTTTAGCAGGCAGTTAGTTTAGTTCCCATCTGCAACAGCTCACTTGTTAGTGCACTAAATTATAGTTTGTTGGAACCTAAGCCAACCATTATTTTAAGACTTCTCCAACCTGTGTGAGGGACAGGTTCTAACTGTCGTTTTCTGTAGAGAAGGCTTTTGGGTAGTATTTAGACTCTTGCAGGGGAGGCTATGAATAGGTGAACACACTATGTTATCAAATTTGGTATGAAAATGCCAGGTTAGTAACACACTTCTTGTCATGAAGATGTGCAGAGGGAATAGCAGACAAATTTTGCCTCGGAACAAGTGGAACAGTATTAGATGACAGATTAGTCATGGTATCAGTCTAACTTGCCATTGCATATTTTGCTATATTCTTTATATTTAACACTCCTTCCCTTCCTGTTGTGTCTATTCATTTTGGACTACATACACTCATTCATTGCTATGCTCCAATAAAAAGTTGTATCCCACCAACTATTAGCGACACTTTTGAGATTCTACTTTTCCAGTATTAGGGTTTCACTTTAATCTGACTCTTGTTCCCATTTTCTCTGCATTCGTATACAGATGTCAAAAAGCCATGTGTGTTAAGAGACTTGTAGCTTCCTGATGTAACTGCAAATTGCTCCACTGTGTTGTCTTCTACTTTGCTCCTGGGATTCCTGATGTAACTCTAGGCTTGACAGTCAGCTTTGGGCACTGGCTTCCATTCCCATACAGAAATTAGTTTATAGCCCTCCTGGCTGGCTTTGCAAGGAAGCCTATCAAAACAAGCTCTAATACCGAGACGTTCCTAGCACCGCGGCGTTAAAATGGAATTGAGGGCTGAGGCAGGCGGAGCATGAGCTATAGGGGTAATTTTCAACTTTGCTACTTTTCTAAAAAAGCTGTAGAATATTCCAAGAAGACCAGCGCAGGCGCTGCCTGAACCCAACTGTGTGTATTCACAGAGGCCACGAAGAAGAAACTTTCTTCTCAGCCTTATGAAATGCACTTCATTGCCCAGAATGAGCCATTTGTATTGGTATCCTAAGCTATGGTCCATGAATCCAAATCATTCCCAACAAAATCAACTGCTGTACTGCTGTTCCCTTTTGAGCATTCTTCTTTCTCTTCTGTTCAGTGTATACTGCTTATATATCCAGTTTATATATAAACTGCTGTCCTTTGAGCATTCTTCTTTCTCTCCTGTTCAGTGTTTACTGCTTATACTGTATATCCAGTTTATATATAAACTGCTGTCCAGAAGTAGCAGTTTAAATTAGCCACCCACAATTCTCCCGATCAGCCAAAGGCAGATCAAAGAACAGGGTTGCAGCCTGTGTGGGATGGGGTTACGTTCTCTCTGAAAAGACAGGTGCTCAGTTTGGGGGTGCTTCTGGATTCATCTCTGAGCTGGATGCCCAAGTTTCAGCCACTGCCAGGAATACCTTTGCATAATTAAAACTAGTGTGCCAGCTGCACCCATTCCTGGAGAGATCTGATCTGGCTGTGGTGACACATGCCATAGTTACATCCCAACTGGATTACTGTAATGCGCTCTATGTGGGACTGTCTCTGGAAACTGTGTTTGGAAACCTCAGCATTGCTAACTGGTGCTTATCACAAGGGTAACATAATCCTCTTATTATAGCAGCTTCACTGGTATAATTAAAAGTGCTGTTTTTAACCTTTAACACCCTAAAATGACTTGGGCCCAAGCTTTTTCAAGGACTGCCTCTGCCTTTATGAGTTTGCCCAGGTGTTACGATCATTAGGAAAGATCCTTCTTCTGATCCCAACACCTTCATAGGTTTGTTTGGTGGTGACGTGGGAGAGGGACTTTTCTGTTGCTGTTCCCAGACTCTGGAAGTCCCTCCCACAACAGCTGCCTTAGGGTCCTTTCTAAGAAGAAAAGCAGGATAAAAATATTTTGAATACTTATTTATTTATTTATTTGATTTATATACCACCCATCTGGCAGCCAAAGCCAATACATAAACGAAGGCAAGGTATCATGCCTCCTTGTCTTTGGATTGTTTGCATATGGCAACTGATATGTCTTCACTTGCTCAAAACTAAAAACTTTTGATTAGTACATTACAGAGTAGACCTTTGGTCTAGATGGGTGGGGTAGAAATCCAATAAAATAAAAAAATAAAATAAGTAAATACATTCTGCCAATAATAACATCACTGAAATCATATATAAGCAAAAATTTAACTGCTAAGAGCTATCCATAATTCTCTCAAAACTTTTTTAAAAATCTTTTTTAGCAAATGAAATGATTAAATACCCACTAAGAAGAGGGAAAACAGAAGATGCCATTGTATTTCATCGGCTTGACCCTGATTCTGGAAAGCACAACTAATATGTTTTTTCTTTACATGCTTTAAAAATGTACGTTTTCACATTTTAATAAACTTGACTTGTGGTTTTTTAATGACAAAAGAAAATACATGCATTGTGCAAGTAAATAGAGCTACTGAACTCTGTATGGTAAGTTTTAAATGCATACAAACATGCATTTGTTTATATCTGGGTTGATAAGGCTGTTACAAGTTCCTTTTCTTGTAACTGGTCCTTTTTGAACTTGCACAAATGGGTCTTCTACTGTGCTGAGCTGTTTAGAACATTCTAGAGCTGAGTAGCTTGGTGTGAGGATCCTACTACACATCCTCTACCGCATGCCTAAGCATCAATGTAAGCATCAGATATCTTGCATTAGTGTCATCTCATTTCTAGATCTACAACCACAGCAACATGGAAATGTGATGAACGAAGGTAGTGTGAGTTCACAGATGACCAATCAAAGAACCTTTTTTATGGTTTCGGTGACTCACATAAATGATTAGCTGGTTAACTGACTGGACTCTACTTCCACATCATGCAAAACCAGCCAGAAGCAGCATCTGGTCTTGCACTCCCAGGGCTAAGACCACATGGTCATCTTTGCACAGAAGATAAACCAATGGTACAGCTACTGAATGACTACGAGGACCTTTGGAAGCAGAGTATTTTTTAAAATGATAGCATAACAAAATATTCTGGATAACCTATTTAGCAAATCATTTTGAAGGAACAGGGAATCCCTTTTGAAGACCATACAGTGTTATCCTCCCTCTTGGAGTCACATCTTAATATAGTGAAGGAGCTTGAATGAATCAGAGAAGCCAACAAGAATGCCGTCAGCAGGCTAGAATCCTCATCAAGAGTCTGGAAGGTCATTCAAAGTGGACTAGTGAAAACTGAGCTACCAGACTAAGATAATCCAACCTCTCCTAGAATTAACCTTGATATCAGCAGAGGAGAATTTATATTTTTAATGATGATAGGCAACTCCCCAACTCTTGAAGGACAACTACTTGGCAGTAATAGTAATGGAAGGTGACTGGTGGAGAACCTTTCATAGGCAACAGCAATAACACACAAACTAATTTGTTAGTACTGCACAGGATACGGCATATATAAATCACTTCTGAATATATCTTGAAAACCCTATGATGAAGCAACTGAAAGTAAAAAATAGTGCTGGAAGATGAGATTCCAAGGTTAGAAGGCACTTAGTCAGCTACTGGAGAAGAGTAAAGGACACGTATATATAGCTCTATTGCTAATGAAGCAGATGGATTAAAGTTGAGAGAACATTTAATTGCCACTGTACAGAGGCAAAAGAAAGAAAATGTTTAACATTGCAGGACCTGGTGAGAATGAACTAAAATGGACTGAAGGAAGACATTTTCAATCAAACAATTTACACAGTGTTTTACTCTGGACAAACACAGGAGAAACCTTCTAGTCCTAATAGTGCGGTGAGACATTGCATTTTAGCCTCTAGCTACTTGTGCTGAATAATATCAGTCAGACATCTTGGAAAACCTGTAAGTAATTCTCATTCAAGTCTACCCCACAACTAATAGATGCTGAAGAATAGAAAATATTTTATATAAGTGGTGAGAAAGAACTTGTTTGCAGATTAAAACAAAATGTGCTGATAATCCTGAGTGACTAGAAAATAAAACGAAATATTGCAGAATTTGGTCTAGGAGTCAGAAATGAAGGAGGAGAGTGTCTCATGGAATTCTGTAAAGCCAACCATCTATTGCTTCAGGTAGCTGAACAGATGACTGCACAAACTGATGTCACCAGGTAGGCCAATAACCTATATATAATCAGAAGCAGAAGATGGTACAGCTGTATTCTCTGTGCCAAAACAAGACTAAGAGCAGACTGTAGTACCAACCATGAACTATTAATATAAAAATTAAAGATGGCACTAAAATACAATTTTAATTTCATGTGATAAAATCCTTTTAAAGAACAAATTTGTGTTACTAAACTCATTGACCATGAAATTATATATTGAAACAAGAGATATTATAATAAAAAAGGTAAAGGTTCCCCTTGACATTTAGTCCAGTTGTGTCCGACTCTAGGGCGTGGTGCTCATCCCTGTTTCCAAGCTATAGAGCCAGCATTTTATCCAATACAGTATTATAATAGATCATGCAAAAACATTAATTGTGTTTTGATGACTGATGAAACTCTTAAAATAGTTAACAACAGATAAGGATTGACTGAAATAGGCTCAGAATGCTAAATCCAATTTTACACTGACTGTCACACAGGGACATAAGAACTGTTACAATAAACAGTGGAAAGCAGATGAGAACAAGAGAAGTGAAAAACTGAGATTTCTTTCATAAGATTCAAGAAATCAAAAGAAAATTTGATCCAGGATTTGATTAAGGCTGCCAAAAGATGAAAGGGGATATACATGACCTGATGACAATAAACAGAAGACGGAAACAATGTACCGAAGAACTAAACAAAAAAGATGCAAGAATGACAGATTCTTTTGAAGAAGATTCCTGAGACAAAGAACCCACAATTTTAAAGAGAAAACTGGAAAGTATTTTCAAAGCAACTGGAATAAATCATTAGGAATAGATGGGAAGCCCACTGAACTATTTCAAGCTACAGAGACTGAATCTCCTAGAATTTGTACAATACATGAACAAATATGAAAAACAAAGCCATGGTTTACAGCCTGGAAATGTTCAATATGTATTCTATTCCCCAGGAAAGAGACACTGATACACTGCTGAACATTTGAAAGTGTACACCAGAATCGGCGCAGTGAACCTTAATCATCTGATCTGTCCCCCGATATTTATCTTTCTAGTTGTCAATCTGTTTTTATACAGATGGTGCACCACATCATGCTTTGGCACTGAGTAACTTCATGCCATTAAAATCACTCAATGCATGAACTAGAGCTATCTGTCAGTGATCCCAGCCATTCTGAGCTAGGAATATCAACAAAGTGTGGTAAGATTTGCTAAAATCTTTGATGGACAATCTGAAACAGGCCTTGCTATATTTTCTTATATTCCTATGTGCCTTAGCCTGGAAAAGCACGGCTATATTTTTGGGGTCATCAGAAACAAATGGCACCAGTATGCAACCATTATAGGGCTGGTGCAGTGTTCACAGTAAGCACAACTGAGGAGTAAAGTGACAACCCATGAGTTCCAACTTTGTAGCTTCATTATCCTTGGTTTACGTCTCCACAATAATGGTGTTTGGAAGGTGTTGAAAAAGAAACTAGCTCCCTCCTCTTATATTCAGTACCGATTCTTAATGCTCAGTCAGATACATGAAGGAAGGCTTGGTCAAAGTCTGTTGGGCAAGATGGAAGAAAGATTTGTAAACCATCCAGAGTAGACCTTTGGTCTAGATGGGCAGGATAGAAATCAATCAATCAATCAATCAATCAATCAAATAAATAAATAAATAATAGCAAAACTAGAATGGTGACTGGCACTGCAACCAATACATCTGTCCACAGACTAGCAAGCTAGTGAAAAATGGTCATAGATTAGATTTACCATTATTACAATAAAAAAGTTACAAGGAAATGGGGGCATTATATTAATTTTTAATTGTCATTTAAGTATACATAAAACCTTACTAAACCAGAATGAAAGTAAAAAAAATCTTATTTGGGATTTTACACCTCCTCTCTAGCTTGCTGCAATTCCAAGTTTTACTGACAAGGGAACAGCTGCATGAATTTTTGAAAACCCTGTTCTCATCAACCCCAGAAAAACGTGTTCTCTTTCTTTGCCCAATCAGGTAATTAACTTTTTTAAAAAAAAATAACCATGCAGTTATTTTTCAATGAGGAAGAGATTAATGGACTTTTGATTTCTGAAAATCACCTTTAAAAAAAAACTAGTTTTCATCTTATTTTCTTTTCTGTCTTATCTTCTTATACTGTATTACCCTCTTCTCACATCTGGGCTTCTCTCTCACATCCATCTCACTAGCAGCATCTCCAGCAGAGACACAGAATGCATTCATTCACATCAGAAATAATTAGACCCCTCTCCTTCCCATGCTGGCTATCCAAAGACTGCACTACCATTTTGGCAACATTCCTTTGCTTCCTCTTTCAATGCAAAGCTGAGATGGATCAACAAGAGGGTTTTTTTTAATGCCTATAAAGAGCTCTTTTTTTCATTGCTCAGTTAAACTGCTGCCATTCCTATTATTTTGATAACAGACTCGTTTCTGCACCTTCACATCTCTGGCTATGGTGAACATATTCAGAAGAAACTCCCATATAAAACCTGAGACTTAAGTCAAGCACTTTCATTTTTAAAAGAACATAGCCACTTACATTGGCAAATTCTTAACTTATTTGATTGACATTACTATACTGCAATCTCCGAGTTCACACTTTGGGAAATGGGATCTTAAGTTGGTGGAGGGGGGCTTCACTACATGAATCTGCTCTTTCTTTTTGAAAGAGCATGAAGGGAAGGTGAGGGATCTAGCTGTATTCCCAGCCCAAAGAACTGGTGACAAAATAAAGGGTAACAAAGAAGACTGTGATAATGAATCTGAGTCATAGTCAGAATTGGAAAGGATGCCAAACACTGGGCTACAGAGTCCTGACTCTCATCAGCAGCATGTTCTGAATGTGGTTTTGTGCGAGCATAGGACTAATCTGCATCAGCCATAGAGATCACAAAGAAAAATAGTTTTCAAATGACTACCCTTTTTTTTTTGTTCAGGTCACTGTGTGGTGAGCATTCTGTCAGAAAACCTGCAATGTACATGCACTGATTAGGGCAGAATGAAAAGAGTAATGACAAGTGACGCTGCACAGATTTAAAGTAAAAGGGAAATTTTTGTTCCTTGCAAGCTTGTTGGTAGAATCATTATCTATATCTCCTACCAACTCTCGAAGACGTCTTCAGAGAGGGAGTAGTCGGAGCTGATGGAACAGAGAGCTCAGATTGAGGGACGTGAACAACAGTAGGTTCCATTGCGGGACTGGTTGTGGGATGGAAGGTCTCAAAACTCAGATTGAGGGACGTGAACAACAGGTTCCATTGTGGGACTGGTTGTGGGATGGAAGGTCTCAAAGATTTCTCCCACAAACATGATCAAAGTTGTTGTAACCAGAGCTTAAGAACCAGTTTGGTTAACTTCTTACACTTGGGACAGGAGCGAGTCTGGTGTCTCTCACCGAGACAGAATAAGCAGCGGTCGGGGCCGTCAGCACAGTGGCGCCTCGACTTATGTACACCCCTACTTACAACCATTTCGACTTTCCAGCTCTGGCAGGAAAATTTTGCTTCGACTTGCGGACAGAGCTTCCACTTACAAACCCAAAAGGCATGGAAAAAGGTGGGAAAAGGGAGGCTCAGCCTCCCGCCCCGATCGCTGCCTTTGGAGGCCTCCCAGGGCTAGCTCAGCCTCCCGCCCCCCCCGCCACAATCACTGCCTTTGGAGGCCTCCCCGGGCTTCCTGCTGCCAGTTCGTAGAGGTTCCACTGTACCTACACTGTTCCATTAATTTAATAATAATGATGGGCTCTCAGATCAATCCTGATTTATGGTAACCTTCTCAGAGCATTCTAATAATCTATGACAAATTAAGGTAAGAACTGTATTCGTGGAGGCCAAATTTGACCTTAATTATTTCAATGCCAGGAACAATGCCACATTTTGTCCAAGAGAAGAGCTAGAGAACTCTATGAGAATTCCAAATGGTAAAAGTGTTGGCAGAGGTGGATGCAACATAGTGTCTTCCTGCCTAGACCCTGGGGGACATATAGTTTTCTTATGCTGTTTACATTTATTTATTTATAATTTGAGGAAGGGGGCAGTTTTCTTATTTGAACTGACTGCAACTCAAGAAGGAACTTCCCGATCTTCGAAGTAAACTTGATAAGCACACCGAAGAACAGTTTCAAATATGCTATTATACAAACAAAAATTGAAGGACAGGGCCACCTGCTTTGATTTTAGTAATATTCAGTAGGAAAAAAAATCTATAAGTACACTTCTATTTTAAAACCACACTGTAATTCCACAAGATTTTTGTCATATGGAAATCCTTTCTAGTATAAGTATACTCTACATTGGCATAATTGCATAAATAAATTGACTGTGAAAAGAAGCTCTGGATTGAAACTAGAGATATTATCAGGAAAGTATGCAAAGCAACAATTTCCACTGTCAAAAGAAAAGAAAAATCTAGATAAGTGACCCATGCATTTCTCAAAATTGTTAAGGACATATGAGAAGCAAAAGCGGAGACAGAAATAAGGTCAGAATATTAAATGCAGTTGTTCACTGCCCGCCATATAGAGACAAATATAACTATTACAATAATCAGTGCAACAGAAATGAACAAAAAAGAGGAAAAACAAGTGTTCTTTTCCACTTCCATAAAATCAAGAAACCAAGGGGAAATTTAAACTTAGAATAGGCATGCTGAGAGATCAATACACTGTCTGAGCAGGATAAAATAAAGAGGAGATGAAATCAATATTCTGAAGAAGTATACAAAAGAGATGCAGATTGCTTTCAAGAAGAACCAGGATTTTTTTAGTTTTAGAAAATGAGGTGAAAGCTGCTGTCAAAGCAGAAGAAATAAATCACTAGGTAGTGGTGCACTGCAGTCACCAAACAACAACAACAACAAACAAACAAAAACAACAACAAAAAACAAAGAGTGAAGTAACTATAGAACCATTGCATTAATCTCCCATGAAAGCATGTGATGCTCAAGATTTCACAGCAAAAACTTTTAACATACTTGGAACAAGGAAAGTCCCAAGTTCAAACTGGATTCAGAAAAGTGAAAGGTAGTAGCAATCATACTGCAAATATATCTTGGCTACTGGAGCATACCAAAGAATTTCAGAGGACAATCATGTTGTGCTTTATAGATTACACCTAAAATGAGAAGCTGTGGGTTGTTTTTTTAAAAACAGATGCCCTTCAACAATTGCTTGTCATAATACATAACATACACTCTGGACAAGAAGTTACTGTTAAAACAGAATATGGAGGAACAGAATATTTTTCTCATAGGCAAATGTATCAGACAAGCTAAAAATTATCTCATTTGTTCAACCAGTATGTAGCATTCAGAAAGCTGGATTAAACGGAGATGGAGAAGTGAAAATTGGTAGATGAAATAGCAATAACTGAAGATTTGCAGATGACACATTACTGGCAAAAAGTAGCATAACTTGAAATGACTCTGATAAAGATGAAAGAAGCAAATGCAAAAACAGGGCTACAGCTGAACATTAAGACAAAAATCATGTCTACAATTACATAACTTTAATGTTGAAATGAAGAAATTAAAATTGTTAAAATTATCTACACCTCAGTTCAATCAACAGTCCAAATGGAGATTTCATCAACGAAATTGGAACACAACAGAAAACAGGAAGGGCAACTATGAAAGAACTAGAAAATATCTTCAAATGTAAAGATGCATCACTGGAGAGAAGGTGAAGATCATCTGGACCAATCACTATGTACGATAGGAGAGTGAGGAAAGCTGGCAGGAAGAATAATTGACTCGTTTAAAAAGTGGTGTTGGAAGAGAGCTTTGTAGATATCATGGGCCGAAAGGCAAGTAACTGGGCGCTAAATCAAATCAAGGCTGAATTTGCTCTAAATACAAAAACAGTAACCTTAACATCCATAATAAGCACTTGGGGTGAGAATTACCTAAGTATACTGAGATTGTACGAGATTAGAACGCTCTGTGCAGAATAAAAGACTCAAAAAACACAAGTCTATATTATATGGAAGATGAAACTAAGAAAAAACTAGGAACAGCACTGTGTATAACACTGAGCAAATGATGTGTTTCTAATTAAAAGATCCAAAGACAACTTAAAATTATGCACTCCTCTTTCAAAAAGGCAACAGAGGAAGTAATACCATATTTTTCCGTATATAAGACAATGCTTTTGTCTAAAATCATTACACTAAAAATTAAGGGTTGTCTTATAAACAGAAGTAAGCTGAGGAGAGAACAAAACGGCCTATATCTTGCCTCTACAAAACAGGCTTCCTTCAATCACAAGGCTTAGCTGCCTCCAATCAGGAGACTTAGCTTCCTCCAGTCAGGAACCTTATGTAAATAATGTCAGCTGATGCCGAACAAACCAAATGGAACACACCTCGTTGGAGGTGGAGCTGTAGGCAGTGCTCAGATACAACAGGGACTTACTATGTCAGAGTGTTCTGAGCCCAGAGGCTGAATACTGAAAGCTAAGATTTCTTAATTTTGGGTTAGAAAAGTGGGGGGGGGGATCTTATACGCAGAGAAATATGGCATTTCTAGCTGAACAAAGGTACATTAGCAAATGCTTACAACGTTGGCCAAAGACCAACAAATGATATGAAGTTTTTCTTCATATATTCACAATAAGACACTCAAAACATTTTTTGAAGTATTTTAATTTGGGGCTCCATACATTGTAAAGAACAAGTAGACCTCTGGGGCAACTACAATTCCACTGTACCAGTCAGTATCTTAGGACAATATCAAACCATGTGCTTTTCCTCTCTGATGGCTAATGGTTATGTACAGTATAAAGAACTGAAATTATGGCCAGCCACACACCTTTGGTAAATTAATTTCTGATCTGATCACATTTTCTGGAAACAGCAAAAATCACACATTAAACTCATTTTCAAATGTAATTATGATTTTCTTTTGTCTTTTAAAACAAAAGCTTTCTAAATAAAAGACCTGAATGGTTGTCACTCTAGAGTGATGGTATAACATACTTCCAAAACAAAGGTCAACTTTCTAAAGACTCCTACATGACTTTCCATGGTAGATCTGTATCATGGCAGAAAGTATCAGAAGTCAATGTGGTCAAAAATGTCCTCCAGGGATAGAATATTGATAAATAGTTCAGTAAAAAAATCCTTAGCATTACATACAACCAGTTCATTTTAAAAAATGACGCTCCTCCCATTTGAGGCGTTTTTTCCGGGGCTGCACAAAGTCATCATCAGAGTCATCTGATAAGACCGGGCTATCTCCATCGGCACGACAATAAGGCTGGAGAGGGAATTTTCTTTCTGGAAAAAGGTTTTTCAGAAGTTCCTCAAAGTAGGCTTCCAGTTTCATGCCAGCATCAGCCACTTCTGAATCAGGCTGGTGAGGAAATTAAACATGTTAGTATGTTATAACTTTTTAATCTACAGTAATATAATATTAAAATATCTTGAAATCTTATAATACGATGTTAAAATATCTTGAAAATGTTACCAGGCAAAAAACCACTGAAAAACGGCAGGATTAGGACGAAGGTAAATAAACATTACCATATCAAGCTTCCAAATACAACGAGAAGTACTGTAAAGTATTTTTTTTAACTCAAGGATGCAGTGAACATTTTCTAAATGTACCTGTTGGAATCAATGTAAGAGTGTAATTCTGAGCTAGGAATTTCTCTCAGAAGGATACAATTAAGAATCCATCTAGCCTATCTCATATTTAATGCTGAGCCTCTTTTGTACATTTCATTCGCATAGAATTTTATTCTATAAGGAGTCTGGGACAAGGACTCAAAATTTGTAATGTTAAAAATATTAAAACTGTACAAAGTATGATTCCTTGAGTTAGGCAACTTCTCTCGCATTGAAACTCTCTTGCCTGAGACAAAATTGCCATGCAGCTTAACAAAGAAACCAGTAGCAGAGAAGACTCAGCAATGTACTCCGTTATAATAATAAGTGATTATTATATAATGTTATCTTAGTTGCTTTCTAATACTTGCATTTTATAGAGAAATCTATGTTTGGATCAATAATATTAAGTAGCCACTGTTTGCATGAAGCCTAGGACAAAACTCACCAAATGAACTTAGGTACATACTTATTTAACAGTGTTTTTAATCTGCTATAGGTAATTAACAGGTAGATAAAGGCTAACAAATTATTCCTTTCTTATTTATTTAAAGCATTTCTTTATCACCAGAACTCCCACAATGATTTCCAGCAGATTAAAATTAATAAAAATAAAGTAAAATATTATTCTTAAAACTTGACATTATTTAAAAGCAAATCCAAAATATTCTTTCATAGCCAGCTTTAAAAACCAGTCCTTGAGGGCAAAAGCTTCTATGAACAATACAAATTTAGCTCCCATCAGAAGCTCACAGAAGGCGCCAGGCTAAATTATCTTTGAGAGGAAATTCTCCAGCATGGGACACTGCTAGTGAAAGCTGATAGCTTAAAGGAATATCAAAACAATGCACTGAAGAATTTTCTAACCTCATTAAATTCTGCACAATTTTGAAAGATCAGTCTGAAATCAGCTACAACATCTTCCAGTTTTGTGTATAATGGGTGATGCATTTGCAATCTGTTCTTGATAGTGGACAAGTCCATTGGCTTCTTTATTATTTTGTAGTAGTCGGGCACCTAAAAAGAAACAGATCAGTATTTACAAAGATTAACTTTGATGTGTAAGGGGATGGATTCAGCGGGATCTTCTACTGGGTAAAGATTGTTACTCTGCAGAAGTACTGTAACAATGCTGGGGTTAGAGGTCCCAGACCCCTATGTAGATCCAAATCTGTGTATAACTCCTGTGCCGTCAAAAACTACAAAGTGTAAACAGCTGATTCACACACACACACATACAGCCGCATTAAGACCTTTGATCTTGAACTCATGCCCCAGTTCTAGGTGGCCAGGGGCACATTAATTATTGGATATTTATTTATTGAATATTTATTTACTCATTGAAATACTATTGAAAAAAATTCATGTATAATCAAAACAATGTTCTCAAATCCATACAAGTCAAGGGAGAAGTGTATTCTCAGAAAGAATAGGTAGCTTGTTACAACACAGTTGTGCTCTGCTTCAACAGATTGCTGGGTAAGCAAGGAAAGTCACAAAAGCTCCTAAGTAGTCTGCACGTATGCTTTCTGGAACAAGCTCCTGGGCTGATTATTCACTGTTGTCAGGTTAATAACGATTCTGTGCAGTGATTCAGGGGATCAAAATGTTCGCATACTGGTGGGTATACCATTACAGGAGGAATCTGCAGTAGTTTACTAACAACACCAAAGCACAATTTGTTTCAAAAATAGCTACTAGTTGTAGCTTTAATGCCTGATGATAGGGAACTGTAGTCTCTCCCAATCCACATCAAAATGACTATAACAGAACCCTGCAGCTGGGTCTTTAGGAACCAAATTGGAGAAACCTTTCCTGCAGCTTTATGAGAAAGAGATGCTCTATTCTTCCTATTCTCCACTCTTATATTAAAGCTGTGCATCTCCACAAAAGGTAATAAAATGGAACACTGAAAACTCACAATGAAGTTTATTCTCGGCTGGTATGCTGGAGGCATTGAGGCAGGGATTACATGAGTTCTGATCTTTAACTATATCTGGGCCCTTTGGCTCCTCTTTCCAACTTTTGTATGCAACCAAGCTGATAAGCGAGCTATGTAGGAAAGGAATGGCAGGAAAGCAAAGGAGAAATGGTAACCCTTGAACAAGACAAAACAGAATAAAAAGCCACAAAAAATATGTAAACTACCTGTATAGGTGTGGTGCCTCTTGCATACTCACCCAGAATGGACTTTCATGGTGAGTGTTCCCATTCTCTGTTAAGAGTGAGGAGGCATTTACTGGTATGAGATGTGCCCAGTCTAAACTCCTTTATGTAAAGAATATTTGCTCTAGCAAGCTTACTATTGGAAAATCCACTGATCTTTGGTGCATTTTTTCCAGATTAAAACAGCAGGAATACCATGCACTAGGGGATTTGCTTCATCTGAAATACTAGGGTTCTATTCTAGAAGGACTCTAACAAAGACTGTGAAAGAATACTATCTGGCATCTGTCACAAAGCCAGCCTTCTGTGCAGCTTGAGGATACATCTACGCAGTGTCTCACAATCATGGTCTAGTTATTTAGAAGAGCCTTCATCTCTAAGAGTGAGCCTCAGGCAAAGACAAATTAGGTGCAGAAAGCACGTATGAACAAATCTGCTGCTTCATGGACTTTCTTCAGAGTAATGTAGAGATATTTTTCACTGAGATTCTATGGGTGAGATTTGCTTCCTTTGAAGTTATATTCTTCAACAGGATGGGTACTGCAGGGTATCTGAAAAGAGCAGTATTAGTGCTCTTTTTAAAATAAGATTCCTCTAGACATAACCTCAACACGTTAAGTGAAGACTGCCACATAGTGCTCACACTGGCTAGATAAAAGCTCCCAAGGTGGACAAATGACCTTGATAAGAGAGGGAAGGAAAAACTGAAAAGAGGAGAGAGGACCCAGAATTTTCTCAAATTTCATACATCATGTGATTTCTGCCTTTCTTGGTAATAAGGGAAGATTACCCAATAGACGTGGATGCTTCCTAATGCCAACTAGATATATGTCTTCCCTAGCAAAGATATATCTAGCATAATTTACTTTAATTATATGCACTAAATATAAATACAGTGGTGCCTCGCAAGATGAAAACAATTCGTCCCGCGAGTCCTTTCATACTGCGAAAACGATCGTCTTGCGAAGCACCGTTTCTCATAGGAATGCATTGAAATTGCCTTCAATGCATCCCTCTGAGATGCCTCGCAAGACGAATGCCAATTTTTTCATCTTGCAAAAATGACTGCAAGATGGAAAAAAAAATCATCTTGTGAAGCATGGCCATAAGAAAAGCTGTCTTGCGAGTCAAAGAAAAATCGCAAGATGCCTTCGTCTTGCGAGTTTTTCGTGGCACGAGTTCGTCTTGCGAGGTACCACTGCATACAGATACCATAAACTGTTGTGAACCTGCATCTATTTAAAAAACAAGATTCAAATATGACTCATATATGTCATTGGTTTGCATCAAAGTCTTCTGCCTGTTAACACTGACTTTATAAAGTGCACTGAAGTCGAGAAATGAACTTTTTTCACTAGCAATCAGTGAAACTAACATAATACAAGTAATAAAGTGACAACTGTACCATAGGAGGAACTGGATCTTGAAAAGCAAGGCTCATTTCATGACAGTAAAGATACAGTAGCAGTCTTTCACATTTCTGCAGAAATGAAGAGAAATGTAGTTACCTGAAATAGAAACTTAAAAAAGCAGAACAGCACTGGAGTCTCTGGGAAGTACACTCAGAGAGCCTATTGAAATTCTGACATCTCTCTCTCACACATACACTCTCACACACATATACACAGAACCCTCCTTCTGTCGCTAAACTATTTTGATGCAAATATATAATTTTCTTGAAGTACTGACAAAATGGACCACACACACATACATAAACATCTAAAGAATGATTGCTTCATTAATTAAATGGTGTATTTACCCAAAATTTCAAAGATGATATGGACTAAGCAAGTTGACTATTTTATATGTGATAAACATTCACTGGATCTTCATCTTCTAACTAAATAAAAACCTAGGAAGACTGTAAAGTAGTATGCCAGAAGAACTCTGATTCCAATTGCTATTCTGGAATAAGTAGTCTTACAAATCTCTCATTTATTCACTCCTCATTGCTCACATGTGTGACCCATGTAAATGATAACATTAGAAACTAAGAGACTACAATATTATAACATTGCAGTAAGTGTGCACTGAGACATTTCGTTATCTGTTTATCAAGAATGCAAATATAGAAAACCAGAACAGATCCTTATGTACAAGATGCCTTTTGGATGTGTTCTCAGTAATTATTTAGAAATATTTTGTGTGTGTTACCAGCACACTGTTTTACAAGACCTACAAAATGAACACAATGCAGTTAAAACTAGTATTCTCACCCTCCGATCAGCAGGTATCAATCCCATATTGCCTTCTAGTTTTCTTTTCTCTTCAGAAGCATTACTTGGGCCATCATATTCTACTTCTGGCTGAGAGAGATCACGGCAGAATGTACAAATCCATTCCCCGCTAAATGAGACAGACAGATGTGCATCAATCCATGTTTTTGAGTTCTGAGTGCTTTAAGAGAAGTCTTTTATCAACTTCTATGACAGCCAAATGATAAGCACATGCCTTTTTTCTAATTTCTTCATGCAAATAGCACTACCTCCTTCCTCTCAGCCGCATGTCCTTATACAAACTTGCAAATAAACTTCATGACTGAACATCCAAGTTTCCATCCTAGAGGAAGACAAAGATCTTCACTCATGAAGTTTCTTTCCATGTTTGCACAAGGAGGCCTGTGGGGCATGTGTTTCTTTACTGCCCACCGGACACAGAAAGTGCCTTGTTTTTAGAGCCACTAGCCCTTCAACTCCAGCTCTATTTCTGAATGAGCAAACCCGACCAGAATACAAGACTGATCAGAATGTCAATCTTGTGTTTTAAAATATAGTAGTTTTAAGTAACATAAATTAAATAACCAAAAGAAGGTGGAAAAAAACTAAAGAAACAGATTAAATAACAGACAAAAGCACAAGCAGGATGTGGTATAGAAACTTTGTTGGATCAAGCTAAAGGACCTTTCACAATAATTTTAGAAATACATTTATTACTTGAAAAATATTTGCTATCAATTTAAAAAGAAACCAAGACAGGTTTGAATATCATGCTTCTGTGACATCATAGGAATATGCTGGTCAACCTTGTATCTTACTACTTATCAGGCTTGTTTTAAAACAATGAGATAATTAATATTGATAATTAACAGCAATTAAAAATTAAGTGACAGCCAGTAGATTCTGAGTTATGCAGACACTTTTCAAAGTTTATTATGTATAAAGTTCTCAGAAATGGCTTACGAGTTCCTCCTTCTGGTAGTACTCTAGGACAGTGGCAGCAAGGTCACACAACCTGGCTCTCCTCCTGGAAGCCAACAGGGAACTGAACTCCTGCTCCCTGCTTCTACCCACGGAGCTATCCAGCCAGTATGGTAACAGGATGCCTCACGGTTATTTACATTTTAATGTTTTTAAGTAGTGTAATATAAAAAAGAGGTTTTACTAAATAGTATTTAAAATAAGAGCAAAACTAAGTCTAGAACAGTGGTCCCCAACCTTTTTAGCCCTGTGGACTGGCTGGGGAACGCAGGGCACCCCCTTGGTGCATGCACGAAGGCACTTGTATGGGCGTACGCATGCTCATGTGCAAAGGGCAGTGCAGTGCTTGTGCAGGCTCGCTTGCGTGTAAGCGCAAACGAGCTGTGTGGGACGGAGTGCATGTGGGGGTGGGGGAGAGGAAGGTCTGTCTCAGGCCACGGACTGACACTGGGCCACAGACTGGGGTGGGAACCTCTGGTCTAGAAGATTACTAGCAGTAGTGAGTCTACATAAATACCAACAAAGCCACATCAGTGACATAAGGCTGGTGGGAGAAGAAAATCCTTCCAACCACATTCCTCAAATCAAGCATCACAAAACTAATCCTGTTTCACATACCCAGAGACTTATTCTTATACTGAGGTCTCCTATCATGACTTCAAAATCAGAAAACAATTCTTTTAATTAAAATTTAAGATCACTTCAGAGCACAATGCATTTTACCTAGGAAAATTCCTGAGTGTGGGAACATGACAAGAAAGGTGGAACACTTTAGGACATTTATCACAACACAAAAGTTCTCCTCCATTCTGACACACTGCACACCAATCCTCATTAGGGTCATCCTCTTTCCTGCCATCTCCAACATGAGAAGCTCCTGTCCATGCTGCCTTGTCATCAGATGACTGGTCTCCTGTACTGTCTGGTGTTTCACTGTTCAAGGCTATTTTTTCAGGGCAGCGATTATTATTCAACAACATTGAAGTAAGCAAGGTTCTTGGAAATCTAGACTGCGGGGGGATTTAAAAAAATACACATCAATGCTAAGGTTGACTAACTAGCACATATGTATAAATATTAATTTTTGTACACATAATTGTGCATCTTTGATAATAAGGGAATTGTGACAGCCAACTAACCAACTACTACGGTATAATTCAATAAGCTTTAGAAAGTCACCACCATGAAAAACTTCAATTTTAAGTTCTGTTCAGTCACTATCCTTCCTGACACTGTCATCAAGAAAAGAGGCAGCTACCCCTTGTCCCCTCCCCTCAGCACTTTGTTCATGCAAGTAATTACGCATCTGAAGAGAAGAGTAATAAAACTCACAGATTGTAGGCAAAGGCAAGAATTCAGATTTTCAAAGTTTCTTGGGGGTAAAGGGAAGGCTAGTTGCCTCTATCCATATTGACTATGCTGGAAAAGGCAGCAACATTAATATGGAAGCATGGTCAATATGGATCTAAAGGATGTGGAGGTCTTTAGATTTTGAATGTAAAAGACATCACGAGCGCTGATTTTTGGAGAATACCAGAAAGATCTTAATTATCATTAGTTGCGAGTAGGCAAACTAGAGCATTCCAGATGTCAAAGCTCATACAGCTTTTATTCAGATCCCAGCCACAACCACCAAGGTTAAGGGGCCAGAAATTATGGAAATTGTAGTTCAAACGTGTGGTAGGCAAAAGTTATGCACCTCTGAACTACACACTTTCCTTTGTTATCTAACATTAAACAAACCCTTAGTAGAATCTTAACAATTCAGCAGTTTACAGAATCAGGAATAGTTCCCCTTCTGTACTCAGACTTTTTAAATAACTGTGATTACATTTTGATTCCGAGATTCTTCATCTGTTTCTTGCTTCACTATTACAACTGGGAAATCATAGTTCTCACTTGGCATGCCAGACTCTTGTTTTATTCTGATAGGCTCTAACATGACCACAGGGACTCTCTGTGTTGAATCAGCACCTGATGGTCTGCTAGAGGAGCCAGAGCTGAAAAAGAGAGCAGCAGTGAGGGAAAGAAATAAAAATTGAACCATTTCAAAATAAGACTGCTAAGATGTGTTTTGGATCATCCAAAGCAGGGCATACTATGATTACTCTGATAAAGTTTATGAGATACATCCCCATATTACAATTTTTCCATGTCTCATTGTTCAAATATTTTAAATCTAATATTATTTCAGCCATTGTGTCACAAAATATGATCTTAAAATACACTCTGAAAACAGTTTTCCAAGCTGGAAGTTCCTCAAAGAATATCATCATCATTTCATTGCATCATCATTTCACCTACAAAATTAAATATGGCTGGACTACCAACTATTGTAAGGAATACAGTGGACCCTCGACTTACAGACGGCTTGATGTACAGACTTTTCAAGTTACAGACTTCTCTGGCTGCAAAATTTAGGTTCGACTTGCAGCCGGAGAATCAACCTACAGACTAGAAAAAAACCAACATGGAACAAAAATGGAACAAAAACGGCCGATTACGGGATTAATCGGTTTTCAATGTATTGTAGGTCAATGGAGACTCGACCTACAGACTTTTCGACCTGCAGCCACCGTTCCAATACAGATTAATTCCGTAAGTAGAGGGTCCACTGTAAATAAAAGTGTTCCTGTCTACATTGATCTATCATCTCTCTTCCCATTCAGAATACTTCTCGCTTTTCTTACATGAAAGTCTACCACATATCACAATGGAGGAGATAACTTTTCAAGGTTGCATTCTCTTGGGTCAATCTGTTGGTAACAGGTGGGGCAAAAGAAAAACTCAAACAGTGCATCACTTCCCCCCTCCCACCTCCGTCTTTCTTCTCATTGCTTCTGTGAAATCTAAACTGATCACTTGCAAAGGACTTCTGAAAATAGGCTAAGATCCACATGAAATCAGGCAAGGGCCTTGCAGCTTGCCCATTCCAGAGCTAAAAAGATTCAATTTTATTGTCACTGATAAGTCTTATAACGTTATACTTGTCATTCACCATTTTTTCCATTACTGGGACTTTGTAGGTTTCTTTCCTTTTTTAAATGCCCCTTTCCATGGTCTAACTTTCCTCTCTCATTCTAGACACCTTGCCTACAAATTCTGAAGCAGAAACTAAGCATGGCTATCTCACATTCCCATTTCAAGATTCACACTAATCTATACCTAATGATACCAGTACTTCTGCTCCTAGAGCAAATTTATTGGGATAGATTTTAGAGATATTTGGCTACATCTAATGCTTATTGAAGAATGCAACACAAGTATCGTATTTTTCCGTTTATAACATGCCCCCTCTTATAAGACATTCTAAACCCCAAATTAAGAAAATTTAGCTTTGAGGATTCAGCCTCTGGGCTCAGAACGGTCAGACATTTTGAGTCCTGTTGAATCTGAGCCTACAGGCTCCACCTCCAACGAGGTGTGTTCCAATTGGTTTGTACAGCACCAGCTGACATCAATTCCATAAGGCTCATGATTGGAGGAAGCTAAGTCTCCTGACTGTAGGAAGCCTGTTTACAGAGGCAAGGTATGTGCCGTTTTGTTGTCAGTTATCTCAGCTTATTTCCATGTAAAAGACGCCCCTCAATTTCTAGTGTAATGATTTTATGAAAAAGCTGTGTCTTATAAATGGAAAAATACGGTAATTCCAACAAAGCAAGTATCCTTGCAGATGCATGTGACTACTGCTTTTATATTTTTATTTGATTTATAACATAAACAGAGTTCAAGGTGATTTACAATAAAATAGAACAAATTCAGCATATATCATAAAAGTATAAAAACCTAAATTCTATTTAAAAATATACCAGTAAAAGGAAAATTAATATAAAACAAATGCAAATCAGCAGTGATAATTTTAGGTTTTATAACAGATAGACAAGTAACAGAGGTTTCCCCACAATTTTACAATTTCTAATTGGTTAAAAAGTAGTATTTGAGAATCTATCCTTTATAACTATCTAACTTACCTGCCTCGGCTTCCAATACTAGAGGCACTGGGTGAACGAACTGGAGGATGAATACCAGAAACTGTAGGGAGCCCTAAATTATCAATGGGAAAAAGAAAAAAAAAGTTGCCATAAAACCTATTTTATATTTTGAAGCTCCCACAAACATCTGCCGATTTTTAATCTAAAGATAACGTTTAATATTATTTTGACTCCCTATCTCTACCCCACATAACACTGCAAAGGTAGAAATAATGACAAGTAAAATACAGGTACAGTGGTGCCTTGCATAGCGATCGCTCCGTTTTACGATGAAATCGCTTTGCGATGGACTTTTTGCCACTGCAAGAGCGATCGCTTTGCGATGGCCCCTATGGGGAAAATTTGCTTTGTGATTATCGCGGGGCAGCGATCATCGCAAAGCCCCCCGGATCAGCTGTGCGAAAATGGGGACTTTGTGATGATCGCTTCCCTGCGATCATCGCAAACCCCCCGCCGATCAAGCCCCCATTTTCGCACAGCTGATCGGCAGTTCCAAAATGGCCACCGGGTAAACAAAATGGCCACCCGTTGTTTTGCCTCGCTTTAGAGGCACTGAAAATGGCCGCCGCAATGGAGGATTTTCGCATAAGGTGAGTTTTTAAGCCCATAGGAACGCATTAAACATGTTTTAATGCGTTTCTACGGGCTTTTAAAAATCGCTTAGCAAAGAAATCGCATAGCAGCGATTTTTGCTGCACGGATTAACATTGCTAAGCGAGGCACCACTGTACTGAGTCCTTATATTGTAGAGTTAAGAAAAAACCCAGGGCTATGTCTGAATACAGGTTCACTATATTTTTCTCAAGGGCCATGCAGGCCACAAATTACACAATTTGGCTTCTTGTCCTGTATCCTGCACATTCTTATTAAAAATCCTCCATCTCCCCCCTTCTTCCTATAAGCTCCTCCCCACCCTAAATTTACAGCTTTTACAGTTGCATGAGACAGTATAAAGCATCCAGCAGTCAAGACAAGAGATTGAGGTTCCATTGTAATCAAAAGGGATATGGGATACAAACTACAGTATTGTCTTTTTCTTCTAGCATAAAAACAGGCTGCTTTGGAAGGGAATCTCCTTCCTTGGGAAACTTTTAAGGATACGTATGAACAGGAGTGGGGTGTTTTAAGTTGAGTGATCCATTTTTGTATAAATTCAAATGTAATTATAAGATGCTAATTTTTTTCTATAGGCAACAAAACATCTCTGGTTCAGGCTCGGAAAGCTTTATATACTAACTATTCCATTCTTCCCTCTGGCATTACTGTCTTCTCACAACTGAATTCAGTTACTAATTTTGCAGCATACTGCCCTGATTTTCTTCTGCTTTTAATTACAATTACTCTTTCTCTTTGTATTCGCGAAGGCTTTCACGGCCGGGATCTAATGATTGTTGTGGGTTTTTCGGGCTTCTTGGCTGTGTTCTGAAGGTGGTTTTTCCTAACGTTTCACCAGTGTCTGTGACTGGCATCTTCAGAGGACAGCAAACTGTGCTCTGGTGTAGTTTGGCTAGGGCGTGGAGATGCCAGCCAGAGACTGGCGAAACATTAGGAAAAACCACCTTCAGAACACGGCCAAGAAGCCTGAAAAACCCACAACAACTCTTTCTCTTCTTTGCCTTTTTTTGCATTAGCTGCCAGTTTCATCTGACATCTAATACATGTTTTTTACTTTTACTTCTTTTATGCTCTTGCTTCCTTCTATGACATCCAACTTTTCTTTATTGAAAGATTTCTTCTATGCAAACTAAACATTTCTAGGTAACCTCTTTTTTTTCTTTTTGCTATTGTCGCATTTCTTTACTTTCTCATCTATGTTATGCTCTTACATTATCTATTCTCTAGGGATTTCTTAAAACATAGCTTCTCTGTGGCCTTCCTTTCTTCACAACCATGTACCAATCAGTAACAACATCAGTTCATACTAATTGCACCCTTTATCATCTATTATATGCTTTAATACTAAAAAATGCATCTTTTGTGTCGTCTTTTGTTACACTGCTAAGGATTCAGAGCAATATTAAGAATTTTAAACGAAGCACAATAGTAGTCACACCTGAAAGGCCTGGAGATGGCACTGATGAATTTGGAGACTGGACAGTTTGGCGTGAAGAAGGTTTGGGTTGGCTCATCTCCACAATTCCCTCTCTCTTCCCAATGCTTTCCAGTGAAATATTTGCTGAACAGTCAATCTTAGGATGATATCATGTAAGATAGTTAAGCAGGGAAGAATTATTCACTAAGCTAAAATTCTGAGGCTTCAATGGTGGCAATACAGTATACATGAGGATGTTTACATGCATGCATGCACACATTCAGTTATTTCTTCCAAGAGCTAGACAGTCTTGTTACAGACCAGTAAAGACATCTGCATATCTGGGAAATGTCTACTACCTTCCTCCCCCATCTTTTTTTCCTCTTCCCTCCTCGTCTTCCCTGCCCTCTTTTTGTCCATCCGCTCTGAGATTAGTCGGTGTCATCTGGTTTTCCTTTTTTTAAGGGTTTTTGTTATCAGTTTTAATATTTCTATTTTTATTTGTGTTTTCTATTTATGAGACTGTAACCCGCCCAGAGTAATGCTGCAACACTAATGAGAGCAGGATACAAATTGAATAAATAAATAAAATAAATACTATTCCGAAAATTGTTAGTTTAAAACAAGAGCCTCAAATGAATGAAAGACTGCATGAGGACAAGTTCTCCATCTCTTAGATAGCCATTAACAGCAGGAGAAGGGGAGAAATTCGAGTTACCTAGCTAATGAAAGAAGACATATGAAATGTTGCTGCTCTCTGAACTCGCCTGTTTTATGAGTAACCTAACAGGTTCCAGATTTAACACATCATACATGTCAAAACAAGGCTTACAAACAGATGACATAAAAACATAGCACAATGTCCATCTTACATCAGGAAGAGAAGGCAGTGAATAAGAGCCACCCGTTGTTGAGGTCAGATCTATCATAGGTGGGGCAAATATCTTTCCATCATATCCAGTAGCATTATTAGTGGTAGGACTGGAAGGAGTTGATGTTGTGCTGCTGGCATTTGAGGGAGCAGCAGAAACATGTCCGCTATTTATTTGCCACTACAAATATATGACAAAAATATTAAGGGAAATTAAGGAAAAATAGTTCAGCATATAGACTAATAATTAATATGAATTATGATTAATAAACAATGAACTACAATGATCTGGATTATGAGTCTGGATCTATTTTACTTAAATTTGTAATACCAAAGTTGGCACATGACATCTCAGAAGTCAATGAGATGGGTACACAAAATGCTACAGGAAACAATGCTCCAAAACTGAAACCGATGATTATTGAGCCACCATGAACATGTCATAACTGTACTTTACACTCACGTCTATCCAACAGACACTTAAGTCTGAAAAGAAGAAATACATATTTTTTGCTGAGAGCCCTAAGTTGCAGAATTATTTTCTCAAGAAAATTAATGTAGTCAAGGCTAATGATCCTACAATAGTACAATAAGAAACTCAGTTACAAGTTATGGGGCAGTGTATTATTTTAAAGCTGCTGCATGTCAATGTAATGTGTCTTATTTTCAGTTTTTACTTTATGTGGAAGGATAAACACCATTCATAAATGTTTTACTTCTCATCAATAATAACATTTATATGCTGAATACTCTAACTCTTTTCTCAGCTGTGTGTTTAGAACAGGAATACAGGTACAAGAGAAAATATTCCTCAGTTATGTTTCAGAAATGTGTATCATTATGGTCATAATTTGTTTACTGTTCATTTAAGTTTTGTATACTAGTTAGGTTCTTTGAGAGAGAAGAGTGTTGATTACATGTAATATTGCAAAATTACCTGTTTAATAGCTTGCTGTGCCAGAAATGCCATCTGCAATGGATTGGGTCTTCCAGCTGAATGGTGTACATTCTGGTTTTGAGAAAATCTCATAGGCTGAGGCACAGGAATGGGGCCATTTGCTTTAAGGTTGTGATTCTGAAAGTTAACCAAACGTGGAGGTGGCTGCTGGAAAGATAAAATAATCTCCTTTGCTAGTTTTCCATAAATTAAAAAGAAATCTACCCTAGACTTTCAGAGAAAATGTATAAGTTTAGAGCTCAGATTCACCCTCAACATAAAATAATTTGTGTAATAACTAGTAATAATACTAGTTCTAGTAAAGCTAAAGGTTCCCCCTTGACATTTAGTCCAGTCGTGTCCGACTCTAGGGGGCGGTGCTCATCCCCATTTCCAAGACAGCATTTGTCTGTAGACAGTTTCCGTGGTCACGTGGCCAGCGCGACGAGACACGGAATGCCATTACCTTCCCACCTTGGTGGTACCTATTTATCTATTCGCATTTTAACATGCTTTCGAACTGCTAGGTTGGCAGGAGCTGGTAGAAGTGATGGGAGCTCATTCCATTGCGTGGGTTCAATCTTGCGACAGCTGGTCTTCTGACCTTGCAGCACAGAGACTTCTGCGGTTTAACCCGCAGTGCCACCACGTCCAACTAACAATTCTACAATCTGCTTAAACAAGAAAGGCCATGAGAAGAGATATCTTTGTGAAGGATACTAATATTCTAGGAACTCTACAGAAAACACTGAATTGCACAGTCAAATTATCACTGGTAGACATACTATATGGTGCTGCTATAATTTTATAAAAAGTACAAATAGCTTATTCATATAATGCTTTTAGACAGTATCCTACTAGCTTTCCTTCTGAACAAAGTACAAGGAACTAAGTTTCCTCTATTTTGGATCTGCCCTGATTTACCTGAGGTGGCGGTGGTGGAGGAGGAGGAGTCTGATGCATGGGCCCTGCAATTCTAGGATTTGGCAGGCCTGCAGGACCTGCTCTCCGTTGAGCCTGTTGCCTCTGAGCGAGGACCTGCTGCTGCATGTGCTGAAGTCGTAGTTGAGCTAAACTGATTTGGGTTGGGAACTTGGATAGCTGATTTGAAGGTAAGCCACTTTGTGGCTGCATGCTTTGTTCCATCACAGGGCTTTTAGGCATGTGCAGTGGGATCTCATTATCTTCAATCACCAAAGAACCTGGATAAAAATAATTGTATTTACAAATTAAGGTTTTACTACTCACACCCTTGGATTCCACTAGGCAATACCCCTGGATGAACTATTCTTTCTGGCATTAGTAAAGTCTGTCAAAAATCTAAATAAAATTTTTCTTCAGTTAGTCAGGAACTACATTTAGATATGGCTTTGTTAAGCTGCCTAGGTCAATACAATCATTATGAGATAACTGCTTTTAAACAAACAATGTCAAATTAAAGCATGTCAATCTAATGTCACTTCAATGGCGCAAACCTCATGTACATATATATAAATATACGTCAAGTGTCACAAACACTTTTCCCATGGATTTGTGGAAATGTTAATGGGATCTGCAGTTAATCTGGACTTCCAGCAATATGCAGAGAGCAATGTAAGTGTAGAGACTCATACATAAACACCCAACCTACATAAAAGTGATATTCCACATAGAAATTTATCATGAGCAATCAATGGCTCTGCTTTAAACAAGATAATGACATCAGTTAATTCAGATGTATCAGCAAATTTAACACTTTTCACAACAGAGAATTAAACTGGAATGCATCATACCTAAATTGAAGATATTTTGGGCCCAAAAACTAGGGTCACAGTGAAACTGAATAGAGGCATTAGAGATAGGTAGGGCATCACACCTTGCTCTAAGAAGGTACCGCAATCGATACGTAATCTAGAAAAAATCAAGAAGATATTAAAGTTAAATCTTAAATATTTTCCTGCAAGAAGTGCTATGATCTGGAAAAGGCTTTCAGTATGCAAAGAGGCTGACGAAACTTACAAAAATATTTTAAAAAACATTTACTAAATACAAATATATTAAGTTCCACACTGATTATAGACATTTTCCTATGTCTTTTGCACCAATTCTGTGTTATTTACAATACAGTGGTGCCTCGCTTGACAAAGATAATCCGTTCCAGCAAAATCGCTGTAGAACGAAATCCTCGTCAAGCAAAATGAAAAAGCCCATTGAAATGCCTTGAAAACCGGTTCAATGCGTTCCAATGGGCGAAATACCTCAGCGTCCAGCGAAGATCCTCCATAGGGCGGCCATTTTCCGGTGCCTGTCTTGCGAAAAACCCTTCCTAAACACAGCAGGGAGCCATTTTAAACAGCGGGCGGCCATTTTGAAACCCAACAATCAGCTGTTTTTTGATCCTCGTAAAGCGAAAAATTGGTTCCTGAAGTAGGGAACCGATCATCGTAAAGCGCATTTTCCCTATCTAAACATCGTTTTGCGATCACAAAAAAGACATCGTTAAGCGATATCCTCATCTAACGAGGTAATCGTCAAGCAGGGCACCACTGTATAAGATACACATTTTTTCAAACTTTTACACAAGCATAAGGGATGAAAACAGTAACTAGAGAAATCTAGCAGGATAAAAATTAATCCAGGAAACATTTCGCTGGAAAATGACATCTATGTTTGAGAAACAGGATGTTCTGAATGGATTTAACAACTGTGAGAATCTTAGGTTGAGGTGCACTGCTTCGTATGTCATACAGCAGAAATCTCATTAATGTATGTTCAATGAAGAGCCCTGTCTTCCTTGTAAGAATACCAACATAAAACACATATTTATATATTTTCACTTACATGTTTTAGTACATAGTATAGCTATCCAATGCTTACTGTTTATGAAATGCTTCAGTACTGCTAGCCACCACAATCAGAGACAAACTGAGTGGTGTATGTGCAATGGGAAACTTTGACTGAGGACAGGGAGCATTGTCTGTAAAACAGTATTTTCAGACCTCTGCTTTACTACTGCATAATTTTATGTTCTGGGCTCTGTTTTGAGTACTCAACATGGGTGCCAAACATTCATTTTGTACTCTGCATAAAATCACGCCAATGTATCATTATTTACCTCCCATGCATTTTACTCTGCCAATCTTAGGAAGCAGCACAGAGCAATGCAGAGCATCAAGAACTCACTCGAGCAATGAGTCTGCTTAATTACCTTTCCAAGCTTATGAGAAGGCCCATGATTCTCTCTTACCAGTTGCTAACAAGATTTACTTTAGAACAGAAAATACCAAATCTAATAGGCTGCATTTTACCAGATAATATTAAGGGAAAGAAAAATGTGGCTGCCTCAGTAGCCATGGAACTAGCTTATTAAAGTTTGTAGAGTTAAATATGTTTGAATCAAATTTCAGAATGGTGTTCTAGAAAACATATTACCTGAGTGTCTACTGACAGCTAATTTATATTAGTTAACTTTTCTTTAAAACTATGAACTTTTGACAGCAGTCTAACAGAGAAAGATAAAAAGATGTTCAGCACTTTCATATGCATTCTAGACCCCACAGTACAATAGTCTACAAAAAACCTAAAGTTAAAATACTATTTTTTTTTTAGGCTATGATGGCGTTCTTAAGCCAACATTCCAAATGTCTTACTGTAGCAGTGGACAAAATGGAACTGTGAGAATCTTAGGCTGAGGTGCACTGTGTCTATGCAGTGGAAGTGGGCAAATCTCTTGTCAAAAAGCCCAGTTCTAGAACATTCCAAGTAGAGCTCTGTGCAGGTGCAGAACCCATTACTGTGACTCACAGAGACTATGAAGAACATCAGGAAAACATTTAGATCTAGTTCAGTGTTATATTCAGTGGTAAAACAGACGCTCATGGGAAGCCCACCAGCAGGACCTAAAAGAAACTGCATTCTCCCTTTCATTCCCCAGCAACTGATGTACACTGGCACTGGGCTGCTGGCACTGCATCTGATATGCAACCATCCTGACTATAAGCCACTGTTGTCCCTAACTGCTGTAAAATTCTTCTTCCCTACTTTTATGGCTAGGATAATCGGTAGCTATTACTGTATTGTTTGCCAGTGATTTCCTTGGTTGAACTTGGAACAGCTAAGGTAGACTGGCAGTGGAGAGGAATATAATGAATTTCAAATTCTGGTCATCACTGCTCACGTGTTATTTGTAGCTACTTTTGACAGCTTTAGTATTCTGCCATGGCAGCAATGTCACCAACAAGAAATGCCAGTATTATAAGTAGCAAGTTTAAATAATAATGTTTAACCATCCCTGCTATAAAATTCTTTTCAGCATCCTGCTGCAAATACAATTTTCTTGTAACATTGGCATTGTACATAATTTTCCATGACCATGACCATTCTAGATAAAAACTGTAGCAGTTCTTTATCCATACCAAGCGTTTGCTATACAATAATGCTGTGCTGCTACCACTGGAGACCGCCCATTTAGAAAAATTCATGACATGCTCCAGTTGCTTAGAAAGACCTGCTATTTCCTGTTGCTGCTGCAGAAGCTTCATGCGGTGTTCTTTACCTAGACACTGGAAGGGAGAATGAACTGATAAGTCACGAGCTCTTTTGTTAATACTTACAGATCAAATAGCCATATTTCATTTCACAAATAAAGTTTACGAAGAACCCCTAATCTGCCATTCTGTTCATGTATATTAAGATAATTTTTAAAAGTCTTGTATCTAGAACTATGCTACCTATTAACTATCAACTGAATTGGACCAATTTGTATTGAAGCTGAACCAGATCAGTTCAAATAGCTTCAGGCAGGATGATAAAAGAAAATCAGTTTGTCTCCAAAATGCTGCAGAACAGCACAATATAAGGAAAACACCAGAGTGATATGGTGGTGCTGGTGGAGCAATGTTTGACAAGAATCTCAACAGTACTTTCCAATTACAGTGCTTGCAATGAGGAGCTACTGCAAATATGTCTTAAGTACTCTTTGCAGCTCCTTTTTCTTTTCTTTAGATATATTTGTGAAGATTCTCAGTTACCCAGGTGAGGTTATCTGGAAATTGAATCATGGCAACTGCACTTCTTTCTTGTTAGGTTGAAACGTTTCGCTACTCAACCAAGTAGATTCTTCAGTCTGAGGAGAGTTGATAGGAGACCCCTGATATATCCTCCATGTTGGTTTCACTTCCCCCTGGTCTAAATAGCCTCCTTAGATAGACAAAAGAGGGGGGGGGGCTGAGTGAAAATCCCACTTCTGCCACCCACTGTCATGGGTCATTAACAGTTGTAAACAGTGGTCTTTCTGGTGGGTGTGGTCCTGATCTTCCAGATGATGGATGAAAGGGCAACATGAGACAGATTGTGTCTAAAACCTCCACCCGTTGAGTGAGGGATTTTCCATATGACCAGAAAGATCAGGACCACACCTACCGGAAAGACCACTGCTTACGACTGTTAACGACCCATGACAATGGGTTGAGAAGGACAGCAGAAGTGAGATTTTCACTCACCCCACCATCCTCTGTCCAAGGTGAAGTGGAAGGAACATGGAGGATAGATCAGGGGTTTCCTACCAACTCACCTCAAACCGAAGAAGCTACCTGGATAAGTAGTGAAACATTTCAAGCAAACGAGAAAGAAGTCCAGTTGCCTTTTCTTTAGATGTTTGCAGATCACATTAAAAGTTGGTGCACAGCAATTCTTAGCGAGTGATAACCACATAAATCACAGACACTGACATAGTAAAAGGAAAAGCAGAACACAGATTAGCAAACTTTAAGCATAGTAAGGCAAGTTTTAAAGAGTAGATAGCACACCACCATCTGGACCTGTGTACTGACACTTCTGAAAAATCATCAACTCTAAAGATGATACTATGCCCCCATTTTCATACATATGTGGACATACAAAAAAGTTACAACTTTTTAGTTAAAACTAAACTGCCAACCTATTAATCTGGTTTTTGCCAAGCAGAGGTTGGGCGTTCAATTGTCCACTGTACCTCTTGAGAGGAGAACCAGACTGTGCAGTCTTGGGCAAGTAGTACAACCCCAATGAGGTCCCAGAAGAAGGGAACAGAAAACCACATCTGAGTATTCTCCACTGAGAAAACCCTGGAAAGGGTTGTCATAAATTGGAATTATTATTAATTATTATTAATCCTTTCTGAAGGGGCTATTTTGTTCACTTTTTGTACCTGTTCATCAAGGAAAATGCTTATTGCCCTAAACTCTAGTGTGACTGACACATTCGGATGTATTTAACAATACAGATGTATTAAATAATGCACTCAAGAGTATTAGGAACATTGTATGCAGTACATCTATTACTTGATATAGCCCTTGGGATAATAAAATGTACCTCAAGCTGATGCAGAAGTGCTTTCCCTTTTTTGTTTATTTCTACCATCAATGTAAAAATGGCAACTTTAATGTCCTGTTCCACCAGCTTTTGATTCCGATTAACTTCCTGGATCCTAAAAAATGTAAAACTTTCGTTTAACACATTTAACACGGGAAACTAGAACAACGTATTCAGCAAAGCTTAAGCATGACTAGGCATCACTTAAATTGAAGAATAAAACAGCCAGAATTAATTCCATTGACTTCAAAGGGATTTTATTGTGCCTAATCTTTTATGGCTTATATATATTAAGTGTCTGTTCAGAAAACTATTAGAAATCTGAAATATTGTGAAGTTGCAAACTTTACCATTATGTTTAAGAAACAGAGTTTAATCCATCATCACTAGAAAAATTGAGCTATCAAGCAAACTTTGAGATCAACCTATGTAATTAAAATATGTAGTAAAAATTACACACATTTTTATTTTATTTATATGCAGCATTTCTCCCAACAATGGAACCAAAGCGGTTCATTATTAGGTATTTTAAATCAGTGTGCTGTTGTCTGTACTTCTCACTTCACTTCCCACTTTGGCACTCATGTGTTTTCCTAGAATAAAGTTTAGGGAAGGACATCTAATTTCTATCTCTTTTTAAAGCAGGATAAAGCCATCAGTGGCTACTAGTCATTATAGCTCTGTATTATCTCCACTACTGGGAGCAATGACTCTGAAGGGGACTGACTGTCCACTCATCCTTCCACTGTGGGCTCTGTGCTCCTTTTCTATCACTCTGGAGCTCACCGTTAATTAGCCAGTCTTCGACCTGGTGGGGAGGCTCGTCGTCTGCCTCCTGCCAGGAGTGGCTAGTCAACAGCGAGCTCTGGAGCAACAGAAAGGAAGCATGGAGCCTGTGGCAGCAGGGGGCTGGATCCCCATTATGTCCACCTGTCCGGTGTATTTGTATACGAATACAAATACATCTCTATTCTGAATACTCTCACCTGTCACTCCCAAAAGGCATCTGGCTCACTACTGCAAGAACAGCATGCTGGATTAGAGAGGTCTTTTTTTCTAATTCAACAAAGCATTTGTGTTCTTGGAATAGTTTAGTGGTACGCTTTACATATAAAGTGAACAGTCTTCAAATCATCTGACAGTAAGAATAAACTCAGCAACACTAATGTTGCTCAGCTTATTTTTTACCTATATTTATGTACATAACATAAAACACACTGTTATATATATACTACACTTATAAAGATCATGAAACAAAATGAAACCAATTGTGCAAATATTTTGAAGGAGACATCTCATCCCATGGGGATCCATAATATGGGAAAGAAAGTCTAAATTTTACATCACATAAATGGACATTTTACTATTGTAGAATGAGACAAATACCTATTTTGAATCTGCTCCTCGGTATGTTTTATATATTTGCTTTTCTCCATCAGCTTTGTAACAAGTGTGTCAATTATCACCTTTTGATTTTGAAAGGCTTCTTGTATAAACTGGTACCTTCAAAAAGAGAAAAAAAACTTCCTATGCAGATGCTAGAATCTTTATATCCAACACATGCAACATTATTTGAATAAACTCAGCAATAATGTTTTTTTGGGGGGGAAACCTGTCTGCCACATGCAATATATTAAAATGGGGAAAATAATATGGCTACATATGTATATCAGACAGAAAAGGAGCAGCTACAGCTTCGTCTTTTCCTTCTACAAGTGTTTCCCAACTTGAATCCACAATGAACACTGCCTCTTAAACTGCAACTAGCAATAATTTTGTCTGTAATATTGTACTTTAGAATGGAAGCAGAGGAGAGTGGGTGATGCCCTCCCTGAGCTTCATTTAGCATGACACTGAAAGAACGTTTCACTTTTGGTGTTGTGGTAGTGGCAGTGGAATGTACAGTGTCACTATCTACACATAATAAATCTACACAGAATACTGCTGCACTGCAGTATGAGTCAGAAGTAAAGAAAGATAATGGAAAAATAATAGGTGTATTACCATAAGTCATCTGACAATGCAGTAAGATATTTAGTAACAGAGCAACAGATGTAATTGTTATCCAGCATTTTCCAAAAATGAAACTTTTTTCAAATTATAAGTTCATCCTGAAATATTGTCCACCTCAGGAAGGCAAACCCCATGGGTTGAAAATCATGGGGGGGAAAACTATCTGTCACAATTGAGCCCAACCTGGCCCCATCCATTAGTGAAATGAAGAGCTGCTTACTTTCTTCTTCTTCTCTCCTGTTTCCTTTGGGGTCTACATTATATTAGGTTGTGAGCCTTACAGAGGGACTACTATATTATCTTTCAAAACATGTACAGTGTTTTGAGTGTGTGTGTTGTTGTTGGTTTTTTTTTGGCAACAGCATGTCTTACTTTAGACATTATGTTAGTGCTAGGTCTTACTGTCTTACTATAAATAAAGATATTATAAAACTTTGTAAGCTGCTCTTTGCAGCTGTAGAGCTGGGTACAACTGTTCATCACCTTTTCTTGAGCCACCATAACATAGCTCAAATTCAGCCTGCCTAATCTCTATCACTTCCTTACATTTAGATTTTTTTTTGCCTAAATAACCATACTTTAGTTTAGTTCAGCTTACTGTAAATGCAGAAAACAAAATCATGCAGATATAACTATTGTAATTATCTCATCAGAAGTCATGAAATCAGGTATTTTAAAATCCTGTTGGCATTCTGTTTTTTCTTTCTTTCTGAAACACATGAGAAAGTACAATGGTTCAATATTATCTTTCACTGAATAGCCTACTGCTCGATAATTCAACATATGGGAATATAAGATATTACTTATTTTTGTTATGTAATATACCCTGCTCATTTTTCACTTTTCCTTTCATCTTAGTCATAAGCAATGTATTTTAATACCTGTGTTCTTTGTGTTCCAGCAACTGGCAATCCCGACATGTCAACTTGTCACAAGTTTCACAGTACAGCTTCAGCTGCTCCTTCTTGTGATAAGGACAGAACACAGGTCTCTGACTACTTACACCAACAGCCTCTGTAAAAAGAGAAAAACCTACTTTTACTAGTTGGGAGTAGGCCAGATACAGTTATTCAAGTTTTCCACCCTTACTTATCACTATCATCATGATCATCAGTCATCATGATCATGATCATCATCATCATCATCAATAATAATAATA